CTTCAGAGTAACGCGAGCATATACGGCGATAGGAAAAAGTCCTTAAAAATGAATGTGACGATATTCATACAAAGGCATAAGTAGACCTCAATTAATTCATCGGAAATATCACAACAAAAATAACGACTAAAATACTTCTAAACGATCGTATCCACGTAACTCAATGGGCAGCAATGTTCTTCATCATCAGCTAATAGTTGACGCGCTCTTATCATTAGTCTTCTTATTAACACGTTCCTTCGGAGTGGGCAGGTAGGAACTTGGTTGGACAACGCATTCGTGCACGACAGACACATAATCCCTGGTGGGCAAGTGTGGAACCTGTTGTTCCTCTACCTGTATACAAGATAACTTGACTTGAGGTAGCCAGGCAGCCAGCCAGGTAGCCAGCCACCTTAACTATCGGCCCCTCCCCCTTGATTAGGCCCCTCCCATTACCCCCCTCCCTTAGGCCCCTCCCCTGACCAACCCCCCATATCCTTAGGCCCCTCCCCTGACCCCCCCTCCCTTAGGCCCCTCCCCTGACCCTCCTCCCTTAGGCACCTCCCCTCCCCGTACCCGGCAGTAGGTCTCCACCAATCAAAGAGCTTTTGTAAGGTCTCCACCAATCAAAGAGCTGTGTGTATTATATATTTATTTATGCACGACAGACAGACAATAAATCCCTGGTGGGCAGTGTGGAACATTGTTCCTACCTGTATTATTCCTGATATGTGCGTTATGTGCGTGTTGGTGGTTTGTTCTCTTCTTGTTTATCTCTGTTGTGTTAAGCAGACGTCGAGATTGGGCATTCCTTATACCAAAATTTTGTTTGTTCCCTGCGGAGCGGTGAGTGTGTGAGGGTGGGCGTGTCATACAAACGGCTACGTTGCTCTCTCTCGCTCGGGGCGTCAGGTGCAGCTGCTTGTCCGCTGCTGGATGAGGAGTTGGCACGACGCTCGCCGTCGGTGGTGCGTGATGAGTCCGTCGTCAGATAGCGCCCGCAGCTCGTCCTCTGGCCACCGTTCCTCACTCTTTTCTTGGTTCCCAGCTGATGCTGGTCGGTGTGTGCGTGGGTCGAACCCACGGCTCTCTCGCCGGCGCTCTCCTCTTCCTCACGGGCGGCTGGTCAGGCTCTTTCCCCTGCTGGATGAGTTGAGTCGGTACGACGCTTGACTTTGAAGGTGCTCAATAGCGCTCGCCGCTTGTCCGCTGGCAGCTGACACCCTTGCTCGGTGGCGCTGCTGCGTGCTCTCTCCTGCTCCGTGCTCTCTGGCAGTGCACGATTGCGTGTGCAGCTTGGTCGATGCTTGGCGCTTTCCGCCCTTTCTCGAGGTTGATTGCTTGACGTTGCTCGTCAGTTCAACTCGAGCTGCAGCTGCTCGTGGGAGCTGCACTCACTCTCAAAACTTGAAAATTGTATTTGCACACCTCTTAAACAACTGTGAAAGCTTAGTACAATACGACTTATCGCAATCCTTGACTTTGCAAGCGACTCAAAACATCAGGATAAATGTAGAATAAAACTTTCAGCGATACTCTGTTGGTCCATGCCGAACTCAGCACCGAGCATCACCTCGCCCCTCTTATCTGCGAGACACGACACCCATTGCTAATGTCGAGGCCATGCCCCGGAGCCTGCCCGTCGCAGTACTCTCTGTCGCTTATCGTAGTAGCCTCTTGCATGATCTGCGCCTTTGGTTATATCTTAAATTCGCTCCCCTCTCTGCGTGTCTCTTGCGAGGGGAAAAAAAAACAAATGCTCTCTGTCACCGCAGGCGCCTGGTTGTCCCCCCCCTCTTCCATTGGTGACCCCGGACTGTTTCTGTCAAAGTGTATGCTTTGTTTGCATCCCCCCCCTTCTCCGTGATCTCTGCTAAAAAGGGAGGGGAGGCAGCCTTTAATCGTATTTTATGGCTACCATGTGTTGTAAAATTGTTGGAAGACAAAGGTGGCCGGGGAGGCTCTGATTCCATGGAATACATATTATCTGGTCTTGTGCGTTTGACCTGTTTTTCTTGTATCTCTTTTGAGTTACCCCAAGATTTGTGATGTATCATAATTTTTACCACAGATATTCTGAGGGTTTTATTAAGCTGTTGCTCTCCATCCGTGTCGACAGGGATCTGTGCTTTTTAGTCTCGAGTTTTAATTTGATATCCTGAGGTTGGATATATAACTAAGTTTTCACTTAAGCTTTCTTAACTGCTGGAATTTAAATTCCTTGGTTCTCTTGGTAAAGTCATGTTGATAGAAACATACAATAAGAAATCATATATATATATTTGAGTTGAATAAGGGTGAAATAAAATAAGTAATAATAATAATAAAGCCACTAATATATAACTGCAGTAGTCTATAACGTCGATTTATTCTTTTTGCTGAGTTTAGAACTTTTACCGTTGAAGAAAACGCCAGTTGTAATGCCCGTTTGTCTCTGCTATGTGCCTGTGTTTTACGGCTCTGGAGATGTTTGTGAAACGTCCAAACGTTCTTGGGTCGTGTCATGCGGTCCTTTGACAATCTGGAGATTTCCCAGATCTTCGTTAACCCCTCTTTGCCCCGGAGTTTATTATTTTAATGGCTCTTTATGACCTCCAGATGTTTGGTGTGGCTGGTGGGAGGTAGCGGGGTTGAGGGTGTTTGTTTTATTTTTTTAATCGATTATTATTTTTAAAAAATATTGACAGAATTATTTTTATTATAAACTTTTTGAAAAAGGCCTATATATACAACACCTGGGTTCGTGAACAAACATTTTTTACAAAAAGTCTGCAAATAAACTACAGCGCCTTCTTGAATTGGATTGTAATTCGAAATATTTTCACAACTCATTCCATTCTTCTTGTACAGGAGACCCTTGAATCTCGTGGGTTTATCTTTTGCGATTTCTACCTATTGCGGGCAACCTCTTTGTGTTCCAATTTAGCTATCGCGGGGGTTAGTTTTGGCCCTTTGCAGGTATACTGTACCCAGAAGTACAGTATCATTGACTGATACCGTGGTACGGGGCGGGATGAGGGACGCGAGGTAGTCGGTGGCATCTCAATCTTTGCCGTGCAAGCATCTTGCGGACAAAGACCCCCATATAGCCTTTTAGCAGACTGCTGGGGCAAGTGCTGTTAGTGAGCACCTACGAAAGCTGACATGGTACACGAGGGGGTGGTTGGCCAGCACCACACCTGGGCGCCTTTGTCTCCCCAGTGGCGATGTTTACACATCACACCAGGTACTTATTTGAGGCTGAATCGACCTAGGGGAGATCCAGGACAGATTCAGGTCATTGGTATTGGGCGTGAGCGGAAATCGAACTCGGGTTGCCGGGTTCGTAGTGCAGTGTGCTAACTGTAGAACTCCCGCTCCCCACTGTCTGCACGATTCAAAAGCCCTGTCTGAAGTTACAGGCGACAACACCACCACCACACTCAGTGGTACCTCTCCTGCTTTTTTCAACCACAACTTTAATATTGCCATCATACGTTCAGCATTGTCGTTCACTGTTCTCGTCACCACATAGAGTGGTGTTTGGCATGGGGGGGTTACCACTTAGACCAGGGGTTCTCAGGGTCTTGTTTATTCTGACCGAGGCAGCAGTGTTGGGTTTGCCGTTAATGTGGAAACACTTCATACACGTGGACGCTGATGCGGGGTTGTGTGATGCCGTACCAACTCGATGGGGCTGTGAGTGCATCTGCCATAGCTAACCCTGCATTTTATTGAGAAGCTTCTTTTACATGTATACAGTATCGGATTGTATGGCTCTTCTCTAGCTCATGCTTTTTGACTCTTAATTATTTTAAACACCCCTTGGATAGTCACTTCAGCTACCTTGAGGTCCATGGAGCTGGGACAGCACAGTTTTAGACAGCCACGGGTAAATCGTGTGCTTGATCGTGACCAAAAACACCCGATTGAGAATGACTGCGCATTGTCCTAGCGGTGTTTACAATGCCATGTATCTTGTCAGGTGAAATCTCATAAAATCTGAAAGTTAACCGTGTGTGCAGTCCGTGGGTTGTGGCTGATTTTCCCCACGAGGTCGTGCCTGGACGGATGGCTCTCCGATTGGCATCATGTGGCGCAGTTTTCTCCACAGGCAGGTGCTGCCTTTACTCTCCCCCGCCTACTCTACTGTTGCCAGCACAGATTAGCAGATAAAAGTCTGTGTGGCTCCGCTGTGCATGTCCGCGCGCGCATTTGCCGTGGTGTCTCCCCTGGTTTGCTCGGCTCGTAAGGCACAACTGTATATTTAATTGCTTTTCCATTTATATTTGTGTACGTCTGTGTTGGAGGGGGAATTTTTAAAAGAGTGAAAAATATTTGCCGAGTGTGTCGGTTCCATATTGGCAGCACAAAATGTGAGAAATTTAACAGTACAGAGCAAGGCAGTGTGTTTAACAGGAACGTCATCTGAGTCATATTGCCTTGTGGCGGTTGGCCCTTGAGGGACCGTGTCCAACACATTGCAACCATTTAGCCCCAGAAAGCATTCGTACGTATGTAGAGCTTCTTTCGCACAGCACGCAGCCACCTGTGCTAATCGGAAGTGCGGCGAAGGACAACAAGCTAAACAACAAGCAGTTCTAAAGAAATTAGTTTGTCAATCTAGATTATTTAAAAGTGTAAAGCTCCAACAGCTTCCTAATATCGTAAGGAAGAGCGTTCCAGACGGCTGCAGAAGCGCATCTGAAAACCTGCGATGCGGTGACCGTCTTTGTTCGATGATCAGCAGCCACACATCGCTGATACGAGGATGACCTCAGTGGGCTTTGCCTGATAGGATGGGGATGGTTTCGTTTTATTTGTATGTGTTTGGTGATGTTTACCTTTCTTGTACTTTGTACTACAATCATGTTTTTGTACTGTTTGTTGTTGTAACGTTCTTATCCGCCCTGACTGGACATCTGTGAAAAAGAGCTTTTTAGGTCATCAGATTCCTCCAGTATAAATAAATATTCTGATTCTGATGAATGTGTCTGTGAAATGAATTGTGCAAACGTACACAATTCTGCTCTCTTTAGTGAGAAAATGGTGACTTCGGACCACGAGAATGTAAAAACCAAGAGACAGGAGGAAGGTGTTAAGGAGAACGCGGTGAGCGAAAGCGAGCTGCCGGCGCCGATGCCACCAACGCCGAGCACGGAGGGGAAGTGTGATGCAAGCATGGAGGGGAAGGGCGACGCGGCGCGAGCGCTGGCGCTGGAGAGGAGGAATCACGCCCAGTCGAGGGACACCGGCGGAGGCATGGCCGGTGATGGCCTTGTCCGGGGCGCGGGCTCGGAGGCTCCGCAGGAGAAGCAGAAACGGGCGAGCAGGGGCCCGGCACCCCCCATGCACGACGACCCGTCGCTCCCGGCGGGCTGGCTCCGCAAGCTCAAGCAGAGGAAATCTGGGAGGTCTGCGGGGAAATACGACGTCTACATATTCAGGTGCGTGCACGCCCACGCGAACCGTCCGAAAAAGCGGCGGACGTCACGGGAAGGAATCCAAATGGCCGTGGCGCTCTGGCCCGCTCATGTCTTACCACGTGCAGCCTCAAACGCAGCAGCGAGTCATGGCCAACTTTGTTTTTCCATGACTGAGCTTATGGATGCAGCCAAAAGAAAGCAAAGTCCTTTTAGGTAAGTGTTATTTTTAACACAGTTGCAGAGAAATTGCCCCCATGGTAAATGGCACCAACAAACCTTGTATCAGAGTTTGTAGATAAGAAATACAAGTTAACATGTTTCTTGAATTGAGCAAGGTTATTATAAGAGATTGGCAAATAGGACAATTAGAAAACTTCAAACGTGTGTCAGACAACATACAACTTAGGTACGTATGTACAGGAGTAAATCGTATTTTAAGTTCTTTATATGCACACACATGTCTTGGCTCTAACAGCCCAGGAACAAAACGTGGCAGTAGGTTAGCATGGTTATATTGTACAGATTGTTTTATTATTGTTACGCTTGTTTTCCAAGGAAAACCTCACAAAGTCTCAATACTTTTTCAGGAGGGTCCTGCCAAGTCTTTTTCAGTATTGGGGCAATGCTGCTGCTGTGCGATCCCAATAAAGTAATTTTTGGGTAATTTTTCAGCATTCGGATGTTTGGCTAATCCTGGTTACATTGTGTGTTTTTTTGTTTTGGGAGGAAATTGGAGAACCCAGAGGAAACCCATGCAGAACAGGTGGAGAAAACATACAAACTCCACGCAGAAAGGTGACCGAGTCGGGAATCGAACTCAGGTCCATCTAGCTGCGAGGCGCAAATGTTAGCACCGCTACCCTATTATAGTGTTGAAACGGACACACAATAGGAAACTTACACTTTTACACTTTGTGCGAGTAGAACTGAGTTAGCCTGCTATGTTGCCGCATGTTCAACAGAGGGCAGTGTCGTATGCAAGTAAAATGTGTGGGCTTGTATTTGATATCTCTATATTGTACGTTTTCTCATGGACTGCATTGGATCTTGGCTCAGGAAAAGCCCTGATTGTAACGGGCTTGGAACTCGCCACAGAGTTTTACACTTGGAAAAAAACCTAATTGGGATGATCGAGTTTAAAGTATTCTAATTTTGCTCTACTTTTTTCTTAAGAGACCCTTCTAAACCATGTATTTAAAAGTTAGCTGAAACATTGGTGCAAATAAAATGTTTTGAGTTATTATTTAGGATACGTTTGTTTAAATGTATTTGTTTAAATCTAGTAACACTGGTCCCCTTGTGTAACTCGTACACATTCCTTCTGTGTCTTTCAGCCCGGAGGGAAAGCAGTTCCGATCGCATGCCGAGCTCCGGGTCTACTTCGGTAAGGTAGGGGAGGGGATCCTGAAACCCGAAGACTTTGACTTCACGGTGGGAGGACGAGGCAGGTCCGACGGGAGAGGCAACCGCTATCCACGCATGCCCAGATCGCCGAAGGCCACAGGGCCAACAAGAGGGCAGGGTAGGGGCAGAGGAAGGGGCCGGGGCAAGGTGACTGGAGGCTTGGGACGGGGTAGAGGCTTGCCAGGCAGACCACCCAGCCAGCCAGCCATCGACCCTCTGGCGCAGGGACACACCGGAGTTGGGAGCGTTCCACCCCCGAGCGCTGCCGTGCTCGCCGCAGGAGAGCTCATGCTGGCGAAGAGGAAGCGCGGTCGCAAACCCAAACTGGGCGCGGAGGCTTTTCCGCCCCCTCGGCCACCTCCGAAGAAGGCCAAGTTTGAGCTGCCCGTCTCCGAGGAAAAGAAAACAGTGGAGGTCGCGAATCTCTCAGCGGGTTTGCCGGTTATAAAAGAAGTGCCCACCGTCATCAAATACACGGCGCCTCAGTCGGCAACTGTGGGAAGCGCCGCAGAAGTGAGGCCTCAGATCGGTGAACCTGAGGACAGGCAACCGAAGGTCAACTTTAAGTTTTACAAGCAGCGGTCTAAGAGCAACTCTGTGGACAAGCCCAAGAAACGAGAAGAGCCCAAACCGAAGATAGTTTTTGTCTCCTCTAATGCACCGGTCCGGTCGGAGGCGCCCGTCAGGAAGCCCGCGGATGGAAACAAGCTCAAGGAACAACCATCCGAATCGGCGGTGGCCGTTCCCGACAGCAGCTCCTCGCCCTCGCAGTTGGACCAAGGACGATCGGCAGAGACCAGAAGTGCGTAACGCGACGTGAGAGAACCCACACATTTATTAATCATAACTTGAGAACTGTAACCTTTAAAAGGGACCTGCTGCTAAGATTGCCTATCCCAGAATGTGCTGCCCGGTTGTTTCTTCCTGTATGAGAACACATATCCGATAATAGAGCTCTCCACGCACACGCTTCCACGAACAATAGACTCTTGTCTTCTCCCGCAATACCGTCTATTATTGTGGTCTTTGCATTTAGTAGTGAGAAAAGGGCATAGACACATCTGTTACTAAGTTACGTGCCAGTGTGCCACTCTCTTCCATATAACTAGTGCTCAGTGGCAAAATCAGTAACCGGCAATGTTTATCCGTCAGCCTATGTACACAGCCCGTCTAAGACAGTCGTGTGACACGTTGCTTTGTAGGAGGTTACCGTGTACTCTGCATATTTTACAGTTCAGTGTTTCAGTGTATAAGTACCGTTACGTCTATGGGAGCTACGCAAAGCTTTGCAGTCTGCAATGGTGACATGTGTAGTGCTCATTATTTACAAGCAAAACCTGTTGCAATATTTCATTGCTCAGTGTAGGACGCTGTGCACCCTTGAGGCCTTTCTGTGGTGTGGTTTTTTCGTACTGTATTTATTTGCTATAGTTTTGAACTGACCAGTCGAGAAACTTACGCGAAGTATTTTATAAGACTAATCACATGTGCAATGGAAAATAAGAATGTAGTTTTTTTGCTCTTTTTATGCTGCACTGTTTATGAACAAATGGATGTTATTGTTACACTTGCTAGCATTCAGCATTAAGTTTTGTGGTGTCCGTTTAGTAACATTTGTGTATTGTGATATCTATTATATTTTAGAGCAATACAAGAGATATCGGCACATGTTAATCTAAAATAACAAATCATTTAATGTTTTCATGCCAAAAAAAATTAATCCAATTAAAAACATCGAATGCTAGCAAGTCTAAAGCTGTATTTGATGCATTTGAAAAATGTTTGGAAGGAAGCACTGAAATGTAATATAGAGTATGTTATAGGCTATTTCGTGTTTTGCAGTGTCCAGTTTTTCTATACTGAATTTATGTGGCTTTATTGTACAGTATCTAAACTGAGTTAATCTTGAGAGCTTGCTGGATATTGTAGCATTGTATGTAAATAAACGTACGAAGTTTGATGCAGGTGGATTGCGTTTATTGCACAGCAGAATCGTGGTCCTGTAAGCACGGGCCCAGGAGTCCAGGCTTTGCCTGCAATGGATGCAGATCTGATGGCAGGATGGATGTGACTGAGGTGTGGTCGTGATCGCTTCATCTTGGTTTTCAACATAACATAACTTGCCATCACCAACACAGACTGTCTTCATGTACATGAAGACAGTCTTCAGTCGCACCTTTAAAATTCACTTTTAATACCATTACAACAGTCCATCCATAACGCGCAGCTTTTACAGAGACATGGGAAATTTGACATTTTATATTTTCTTGCGTTTCCATTTTCACACGACTGCTTTTCATAGTAACTTTGTCCACAGAATGCACCCCTACTTCGCAATTGTGGGAAATCTGGCGCTGTTGGCGAAGCAGAATTTCATCATAGTGCGTGGAAGCAACATTTGTTCCAAGTAATTGACCCCTTCGCAAAATCGTATGGTTAATGGATAACATCTTGGCTTTTATTAAGTTAAGTTTTAAAAGCGAGGTGCCAATCCGCATTATAAAGGTGTTTGCATTGGCTTGCTTTGAGCTGCAGGTCAACGAGGTGATCCTAAGCATGACCAGCAGCATCCTGCAACGCCTCTTGTCTCAATCCCCAATGACACGCCAGTTTCTGTCGCACGATGGCAGCAGCAATGTGTTTACGAGCTGAATGCCAACGTCGAGGTTTGCTAGCCAAGAGAGGGCTTCAGGAGAGAGTTCGTGCCGTTTTTCTGCTGTTCCTCCTCGGTTGAAGCAGCACAGACCACAGTGGGTTTACTGTATGGTCCAGTAGTTTGGGTTGCATGGCCACGATCGCACGACTGTGGCTTATCTTTCCATTCATGAAGGTAATGTGCTCATCGGCCTCTTGATGTTCTGATATGGTTCATGGTTGCACCAGCAGTGTCTTCGCGGAGGAGGAATGTCAAAGCTAAGAGGTGCGGATGTTTGGGTTCTGAACGTGTGGAGTATTTCTGGACGTCTGCGGAAATGCTCGCCGTGGCAGACGACCGCGTGGACTCGTCTTCCGACAGCCTAGCATTCCGGAACGCCGAACGTTCCGGAACGTAGTCGACAAACGTCATCGGGAACAATCGTATGCATTCTAAAAATTGGTGGGAGTGGACGATCCATTCACAGGACGTCGTTGCGTTCTGCTACTGCGGCTGCTGCTGCTACGTGTTGAGAAGTCTGCGTTAGTGTTTCCGAGGACAACTTGATGCATTAAAGCGATGGCCGTCCTGTGGTGATTGTCGGCAGGCATTTCACTGATTTGTCTTCGGCAAGTACGGTTGTTTGGTTTGAATTAATTTGTCTTTTGCTGCAGCAAATATTTGCGATTTCAAAGCTGCAAAAATGCTTGCAACACTGAAGTACTTTGTAACATATTCTTAATTAAAAAGATAATCTAGGTTGATGCATTATTTAGAGCCCTACACCACAAGCTTTTTACAAACAATAGTGCTGCGTAACACACGGTTCTATATGCGTTGGCGCCCATGGATGCAGTGCACTGCCAACGTCACAGTAAAACCTCGGTATATACTTAACTAACCTCCCTAAGTGCATGCAAGCGTTGTTCATTTTTCCAAGTTTTATTCCCTGCTTGCTTACCGGCGTCATGTCAGGCAACAATGCTTTTCACATGCTTGCAGAGTGGCGCGACCCCCAGTGAGGGTGGTGCCCACAAGCCCCTCTAAACCCTGCAGGTAGCAGCTACTTTACCTCGCTCACCCACGGGATTGCATTTTCCCATATGCTGCTATGGTGATGTTCATTGCACGACAGTGAAATATAATTTTGTCATATCGTGGCTGGAATTTATCTAAATTAGTTAAAAATATGTTTTTAACACAATGGCTTTTTATGCTTCCATTGTTGTGACTGGGCTGAGAGCATGGGACGCAACTTGAGAACGTGGTTTAATCACAGGAGGCTGTAAAATCGTATTTTAACCCAGGAGCTCCACAACTTTGGCTCGGCGCTATCACCTCCGAGGTGCATCTCTTTAAGAATTAATCATGACAAGTCCTTGATTGCCTTGTGCCTGTGAGTTATACACTGGGCGTGCTCTTGTCGGTTTTGTACCCGAATCACGATGTCATTTATTCATCCAGAAATGCGTCGGTGAGTCCCAATGCTGTTGTTCAGGAGGGTTCTGCATCGTGACATTTGGCAGCTATTCAGGAATCTTGTTTGCATGTTGAAGGAACCTGCGGTGCCCTAAAACCCTCCGCATACCGGGGGACAACACTAAATCGCCTGCAAAGATTGCTTCGTCCAACCCACTTGTCACCTTGCAACTCCTGCCAGTTTTGGAGACTCAACAAAATCTCTGCATGATCCACCAACCCTTACCTCCAAACTGTAGGGTGAAGGGGCTGTGTGCCGCCACTCCCTGCTTGGTATTAACGTAACGTTCGTGCAAGGTCACAGCTCTATACGCCTGCGCGTTTTGTCATTTGGCAGTTTGGTGACTTTCTGATGCCACCGCACAGCAGCAAAAGTTGGATCCCACGCAACCGCCCGCTGCTAACGGGGTCCCCAATTAATGCCCCTGACTGTCCTCTGTGTGTTGAATTGAGGCAGTGAAAACTACATCCGATAACAATTTTAGTCGTTTGTGAAAATAGTTTTTTCAAAAGTTACTTCGCCAAACTACAATTTCGCTTTTACCCCACCGCCATAAAACCGATTTTTATTGTTCTGCAGATCTGTATTTAGGGTTTTGTTTGTAGGCTTTCCATCTGGCTGGCAGTGGGGGAATTGGTGTCTCAGTTCAGGTGGCAAGAATTGATTTGTGCTGAGATCTGGTACCAGTACTGTGTTTAACGTTATTGAAGAATACTGCAGTGTTGATAGACCCCATGCTGACTGAGAAACATGTCTGGATTTGGTCTACAGTGGAAAAGGTGACGTCTTAAATCTGTATTTTCAATGTATGCAATCAACGTATGTATGTTGAACTTCTTTTGCACTGTACATAGCCAACCAAGCTAATCATAGGTGTGGGTAAAGGACAACAAACTAAACACAAAAAGAAGCTCTCAAGAAAGTATTTTTGATGCATGGGTCTCTGTGAGTCTATGGGTGTCTGTGTGAGACTGGGTCTGCATGTGAGTGTATGGGTCTTTATGTGTGTATGTATGTTGAACTTCTTTCACATACGTAGCCAACCGTGCTAATCGAAGGTGCGCGGTGGAAAGGAAAACAAACTAAACACACAAAGCAGTTCCGCCGCTTGATCACGGATTACTTTCACATAAAGAGTTATTAATACGAGTCCCACAAATAATCTCTGCGAATGGGCGTGGGGCGATGCTGGTAGCCGTATGGGCGCAGGTGGTAGGCGAAGTACTCGAATGCGTACATCCACTCCGGCGCCATGAAGTGGAACGAGATGGAGAAGTCCGAGCAGCAGTCGGGACCCTGCGAGCCACGGGGAGGCGCGGCGGAACAGTCAACGGCGGTTCTCGCACTGTCAGGGCGCCACGGTGGCTAGGAGATGTTAACTACCTCGCCTGGTATGCATGAGGTCGTGGGTTCAACCCCAACCCTGACACCTGCTGTATATTTTGAGTTTGCGTGTGTATCTCCCCGTGGTCGCGTGTATTTTTCTCAGTTTCTTCCGGTTTTCCCTCCATTTAGAATCAACGTGCATTTAGAGTATTTGGCAACTATACATTTCCACATGGTAAGTCACTTCGTTGAGCTATCGTTTGTGGCCAGGTCGCTTATGAAAAAGAGCTACATAGCTGAGTGGTGCTTACATGTTTAAATACAAAAATCGTCACCTATGAGGTTGTATTTGTGACAAAAAAACGCCATGCAGTAGTGGTATCGTCAATGTACATATTTCCAATTATTTAAACATTTATTGTCAGAAATAAGAGGAAATAATTAGTCACTTTGGTTTTGTTTTTCCAATATTCTAGTTAATCTTACTTTCAAATAACGTACATTTTCCCTGATTTTGTCTTTTCATGCGTCACCGCAGTAGCTATCAACATTGCCTGCGTGAGTATGTCATGACAAATCCAATGCAAATGGAATACTCGACAACTTGGCAAATGAATGATACAAATCCAACCCTCGGATCTATCTCCCAATCTAATCCCCGACCTGCTGAATATTATTCGTTGTCTTCAACGTCCTCCATGGCCTCCCCTCCCCAATGTTCCCCATTCCAACGCTTCCCCTCTTATCAAGCAGCGCTCGATGCGAAGTCACTGCTTGCGCCGCTTAGCAACCGCCGCAGGTTTGTGTCCTCATTGCAGTGGTTATTAAACTTTACCGCAGCCTTGCACCCTTTGATTCTCGATCGTAAAAAAAATACATTGTGAATAAATACGTAGGGTTTGATGAAACAAAATACAGTCATACCTCGGTATATGACCGCTTTGGAATACGTCGAATTTGGTATACGTCGTGTTTTGACGAGACAAAAATTGCTTGGGATACGACTTCTTACTAGAACTTGTATGGGTCGCGATGAGTCCCCGCGTATAGCCTAAAATCCTGTCGTTCACGACTGAAACAAAGCGCCGCTCAGTGTGCGTGTACAGTAGTTTAAATGGAAGGGGACTCTCCTTCCAAAAAATACCATCTCCTCCTCCCCTTCCTCACCACCATCCTCGTAGGCTACCAACTCCTCTCAATTTTTTTTTTTTTTCAATTTATTTTAAGTTATTTATGCATTTATTTGAATTAATGTATGCATTCTAGTAATAAGTAGTGTCTAAATTATTTTATACAACCCCATTAATGTATAATATGCCATATAAAATATCATTTCTTATACTCTGGAATGGATTATTTCCTTTCCCTTTATTTCTTATGGGAAAAATTCGTTTTGTATACGTCATTTTCGGTATAAGTCCTACCTTCTGGAATGAATTACGACGTATACCGAGGTACCACTGTAGTTGTTTCGATGATTTACCTTCTATAAAAAAATTGGCATTTCTCGCACCCCCAAAAAGGGCATCTCGCACCCATATTGGATGCGTGCACCCCAGGTTAAGAACCGCTGACGTAGGGAACCCATCCAGCCGCCGCTTGACCCGCAAGAGTCCGTGCTTGCGCCATCACTGGTCAACGTATACACGACCGTGACCTGCCTGTCGTTTTCTCGCGCTCATCTGTGTCGGCCACTGATCTGACATCGGCTGCCCGAAGCACCGATCTCAATCTGCCAGACATTAAGGCCACCCAGAATGAAGTTCTCACAACATTGGAATCTTTTTTCAAGTACAGGTAGGAACAACAGTTCCACACTGCCCACCAGGGATTATTTGTCTGTCTGTCGTGCATAGCCACGCCCTCGATTTGTATTTCATAGAGCGCTTCGGGCGGGCTCAGCACCACATGTAGTGCCGCCCCACGCAACTTGCACGAATGCGCTGTCCAACCAAGTTCCTACCTGCCCACTCCGAAGGAACATGTTCCTAGCACTTCTCTCCCAACCAAAAACAAAAAAACATGATCGTCAACCTTCCACCTAAGCAGTTGGTGCGCACGGACATCCCTAAAAGTATGAGTTGGAACGAACCAAGGTCACAAACCGACACCCAACGGACCTCGTCATCGCCCTTGGCTGGAGCCTAACTTGACAAGAACGTCTCTGGAGGATGATCGCCAAAGTCAAATCGAGGACAGACACTGTCCACTGGGGAGCAATCGCCCCAGTCCTGAAAGGTGGTGCTTCTCAACCTTATTGGGCTACTGCTGTACCCCTCCTTGTTAAATTGTGTTTTAACCGAGTATGTTAATTATTCATACATGATAAGTAAATGTATGAAAAATGAACATCAATATTTTAACCAATTGTCTATTTTGTGAGGTATCCTAACTAGCTAAGTAACTGCAAGCGATTACAAAATTCAATGGACGCTCAGCATGCATGACGCAATTTGTCCACGCTTGTTGGTAACTATTGGAAGCAACTTTGTTGACGATCAGTAAATTGAGAAAGCTCTTTTATATCGGTCGAGGTTACCATATGTATTTAAATTTTATTGCAGTTATATTGGCAGATTCATACGTGATTATTCACCAATGACTCACGTATTACGTAATTTAATACATCACTTCAAGCCCCCGGTTGAGAAGCACTGCTTTAGACGGCCACATTGTGCATGCCATTGTAGAGTGGCAATGCACAAACTCAACTCTGGATGTGTCGCAAACCATCAAGGGCCTGCCAATCGACGCACAGCAACATGGCTTCCCGTGCCGTCGAACATCGTCGCTCCACGTTTACGCCAAGAGGCGGCAAAAAGGTAATATGGAAACCCATGTCAAATCCCCCGATTGCCGATTCGTGACGATCTTCGCCGCCCTTATGGCAGTCGCCTAAAATCCCGTCACCATTCTGGTCGCCTAAAATCCCTTAGCCATTTATGGTCACTTAAAATCCTGTCACCATTTCTGGTTACCTATAATCCCGTCACAAATTTCTGGTCGCCTAAAATCCCGTCACCAATTCTGGTTACCTACAATCCCGTCACCATTTCTAGTCGCCTAAACTCCCGTCCCATTCTGGTTGCCTAAAATCCCATCACCATTTCTGGTCGCCTAAAATCCTGTCACCACTTTTTGATCGCCTAAAATCCCATCAATTCTGGTCGCCTAAAATCCCTTAATTTCTGGTCACCTAAAAATCCCGTCACCAATTCAGGTCGCCTAAAATCCCGTCACCAATTCAGGTAGCCTAAAATCTCGTCACCAATTCAGGTCGCCTAAAATCCCAGCACCAATTCAGGTTGCCTAAAATCCTGTCACCAATTCAGGTCGCCTAAAATCCCGTCACCAATTCAAGTTGCCTAAAATCCTGTCACCAATTCAGGTCGCCAAAAAACCCATGACCATTTCTGCTCGCCTAAATCCCGTCACCATTTCAGTTCGCCTCAAATCTCGTCACCAATTCAGGTCGCCTCAAATCCCAGCACAATTTCTGCTCGCCTTAAATCCCGTAACCATTTTTGGTCGCCTAAAATCCCGTCACCAATTCAGGTCGCCTAAAATCCCGTCACTAATTCAGGTCGCCTAAAATCCCGTCACCAATTCAGGTCGCCTAAAATCCCGTCACCATTTTTTGTCGCCTAAAATCCCGTCACCATTTTTAGTCGCCTAAAATCCCATCACCAATTCAGGTCGCCTAATATCCCATCACCAATTCTGGTTGCTTAAAAACCCCTCACCAATTCAGGTCACCTAAAAATCCCGTCACCATTTCTGGTCACCTAAAATCCCGTCACCAATTCAGATCGCCTAAAATCCCATGAGCATTTCTGGTCGCATAAAATTCCATCACCATTTCTGGTTGCCTAAAATCCCATCACCAATTCAGGTTGCCTAAAATCCCATCACCATTTCTGGTCGAATAAAATCGTGTCACCATTTCTGGTCGCCTAAAATCCCGTCGCCAATTCAGATCGCCTAAAATCCCATAACCATTTCTGGTCGCATAAAATTCCATCACCATTTCTGGTTGCCTAAATTCCCGTCACAATTTCTGTTCTCCTAAAATCCCGAAACCAATTCAGGCCGCCTAAACTCCTGTCACCTATTCTCCCTGCCTAAAATCCCATCACCATTTCTGGTCGCCTAAAATCCTGTCACCACTTTTTGATCGCCTAAAATCCCATCACCAATTCTGGTCGCCTAAAATCCCTTAATTTCTGGTCAACTAAAAATCCCGTCACCATTTCTGGTCGCCTAAAATCCCGTCACCAATTCAGATCGCCTAAAATCCCATGACCATTTCTGGTCGCATAAAATTCCATCACCATTTCTGGTCACAAAATCCTGTCACCATTTCTGGATGCCTAAATTCCCGTCACCATTTCTGCTCTCCTAAAATCCCGTCACCATTCTGCTCTCCTAAAATCCCGTAACCAATTCAGGTCGCCAAAAAATCCGTCACCATTTCTGGTTGTTTAAAATCCTGTCACCATTTCTGGTCTCAAAATCCCATCACCAATTCTGCTCGCCTAAAATCCTGTCACCACTTTTTGGTCGCCTAAAATCCCATCACCAATTCAGGTTGCCTAAAATCCCATAACCATTTCTGGTCGAATAAAATCGTGTCACCATTTCTGGTCGCCTAAAATCCCGTCACCAATTCAGATCACCTAAAATCCCATGACCATTTCTGGTCGCATAGAATTCCATCACCATTTCTGGTTGCCTAAATTCCCGTCACAATTTCTGCTCTCCTAATTTCCCGTAACCAATTCAGGCCACCTAAACCCCTGTCACCTATTCTCCTTGCCTAAAATCCCATCACCATTTCTGGTCGCCTAAAATCCTGTCACCACTTTTTGATCGCCTAAAATCCCATCACCAATTCTGGTCGCCTAAAATCCCTTAATTTCTGGTCACCTAAAAATCCCGTCACCATTTCTGGTCGCCTAAAATCCCGTCAC